GCCATAATATACAGAGGTTTAGTCTTTTACTCTAGGTTTTTCATATAACTCAGATCGGGTTTGTTGCTTGCTTGTTTTCTCTTTATTGTTAAACTATATCTAAGGATAAGAAACTATCATTTAAGGTCAGGGCAAAAATAGAGGGTGTGGTTGAAATGCATAGGATGAAGAAGAGGTATTGTATATCTTTGAGCATATTATGTAAGAATATATTGAGTGGGATTTAAGTAGTCAATGTTAGCTTACAAAACTGTGGCTATATTCTCATATGAAATGAATCAAATACTATGTGAGGTGTGATGCACCAGTAATAACTAGTAATTTAATTGTAATGGCGTGTCATCCCATAAAGTGAAATGAATTAAGATTATTAAATAACTGAACTTCAGTCTCAATTTCAAATCTTATTTTTTTTGCAGCTTGGTGGAGGTGGCAACACAAATATATGCAGCCGAAGAGAGTTGGAATTGCTCCTTTCTTTCAGCTGCTTGTTGGATCAATGACTTTCTTCTATGTGATTAACTATGGCAAAATCAGTAAGTATAAAAGTGTAATAAATGTAGCTTTTTTATTATTAATTGCTTTGCTATAATAATAAGTGATGAAGGTAAGGTGAACCCTAATTTAATTCTATGCAAATTGTTGAAAAAGAAATGCCTGAAGACAGTATTGCTTTCAACAGATATTAAAATACTGTGAAAACAGTATTAGTAGACACAGTATTATGTTGACAGCATTCACAATTTTTCATTTTTTTTTTGTAACTCACTTAAAAAGTGAAAAAATATACATATAAAAAACACCTGACTCTATTGCTTTATTTACTGCATTGTGATATAAATTTCATATTAACTTCCAATTTGAGCAATGATGGTCTAAGGTGTGAAGCATCTGATTCTGCAATCACTTTACAAGAGTAATGTTGAAAGAAATATAGTTTAAATTGTTTTCAAAATCTAACTTAGCTTTTTGTAATAATTGTTTTTTTTTTCAGAGCACCATAGGAACTACAAGTACCACTAAACATTGTCATCTGCTGGTTTTGAAGAGTGGTGCCACATTCATATTATTATAGTGATTTAGGTGTTTCATTCTGTTCTTCAACAATTAAATACTTGTAAAATTGTCAATGTATATTTTTTAAATATCTCTTTAATTTATTTTTGACCTATGGCCAGATTAAAGGGAGAAATATTTCAAATGAGTTAAATCAAATATTAAATTATCTCTGCAGTTAATGGATAAGGTTGTTTTTTTCCATCTTAACTGTTTAAACTGAAACTGGTATCAATAATATGATAGAATCAACAAAAAGAATTTTTTTAAATAATAATAATTGTTTATTAGTGAATTGTAAGTAACTGCTAGATGGTATTTATTAAAAGAAAACACTTCGGAATATTCGGAATATAGTGATATATATATAGGGATATATATATTAGGAATATAGTGATAGTCCCAGAAAAGGGTCGCAGCAGGACTGTAAAAACTACCGTGGCATCAGCCTTCTTAGCATTGTGGGAAAACTGTATGCTAAGGTACTGATTGAAAGGGTCATGAAAGAAACTGATGGAAAAATTTGGGATGTGCAAGCGGGATTTAGAAAGGGAATGGGATGTACAGATCAAGTCTTTTCCATGCGCATGATCGCGGAGAAGTTTTTGGCCAAAAACCAAAAGGTTTTTTGTGCGTTTATGGACTTGGAAAAGGCCTATGACAGAGTGAATAGGGATGTGCTATGGCAAACACTGAACTCATTTGGGTTGGGCGCTGGCTTGATACAAGCATTGGAGTCCCTTTATAGGGACTCTAGTGCTTGTGTTAGGATCAACGAGGTCTACTCGGACTGGTTTGACATTCATAAAGGTGTCAGACAGGGCTGTATGGCTTCCCCGTGGCTGTTCAACCTATTTATGGACAGTTGTTTGCAAAATTTGAAAGTTGAAGAATGCGGATTAAGAATCGGTGAGTTAACAGTCAAATGCCTTTTGTACGCCGATGATCAAGTTATCCGTGCGTCGTCGGCGGCCGAGTTGCAAATGATGGTTACATTAATGAACAGATCAATAAAAGAAAGTGGTATGAAAGTGAACGCAAGTAAGACGAAGGTTATGGTTTTTGAAAGAGAAGAAAGTAAAACGATTTGTGAAATAAGAATAGAAGGGGAGTTGATCGAGCAAGTAGATGAGTTTGTATATTTGGGCTGCGTATTTAGCAGGGATGGGAGATATGATAAGGATATAGAACGACGAGTGAATGCGGGAAATAGAGTAAATGTGAGCCCTGCACTCTATTGTGAAGAGTCAAAATGTGTCGAAAAAGGCATGTATGGCAATTCACAATGCTGTGTTGGTCCCTACTTTAACGTATGGTAGTGAAAGTTGGGTGTGGCAGATGAGCACGAGAGTAGAATGAACGCAGTAGAAATGCGGTCGTTAAGGAGTATGTTAGGGCTGAATCTTAATGACAGGGTAAGAATTTGTGTAATAAGAGAAGAGTGTGGTTTGCAAGATGATGTTGTGACCAGGATTAAGAAAGGAATGCTTCGGTGGTTTGGTCATGTGGAAAGAATGAATGAGGAAAGAGTGATTTATGTTGCAGAAGTGAATGGCAGAGTCGGAAAGGGACGTCCTAGGCGAAAATTTATCGACCAAATTGGCGATTTATTGAAAACGGGCCAAATTAGGAGTACCCTTAACCGACGAGCATGTATGCGGAAGTGTATGGATGTGAAGGAGGCAAGAGAGGTGTGTCAGGATCATGCCAAATGGAAGTCTGTAGTCTCTGCCTACCCCTCTGGGTGACAGGCGTGAGTGTTTATGTTATGTTATATGTCTCAGTAGTACAGTCACTCATAGTAATCAGACAATGAGTGATCAAAAACATGATTTAGAACATTTATAATAAAAATGTCTGATTACTATGAGTGACTGTACTACTGAGTACTACTGAGAGTACCTGTGTATGAATACACTCAAGCACCTATAAAGCTCTGTTCAGATCTACCAGCATGTAGCAGGCCTAGCACATAACACCAGACACCGCCAGATAACAATATTCACATCTAGCGCACCCGGCATGAACTAGCCGTGTGTTGGCGTGTCAGTCACATTCATATTATGACTGTAACAGACACGCAACAGCACAGACAAAACATTCTTGTTGCGAATGCTGGCTGGTGCCGGCCCGTGTCTGCGCGTACACGCTCTGCTTGCGTGCGCTAGATATGAATATATCTGTATAAAGTGTATAAAAGAATATTATTTTGTCTGTCACACCATGTGTCTTGCACGCTCTCATATCTGAATGGAGCTTAACTCTGTCCTGCACAGATGGCTATTCTCCATTAAGCCTGGCCGCCATTGTCTAGAAAACATTGAGTATGTACACTGTTTATGCTGATCCCCATTACATATCTAAGGTATTTTAGGTGGGTAGGACCCTAGTATGTGTAGTATATATTAATAATTTATGGATACTGTATTTTTGGGCGGACATTTGTCAGTCACCAAAATTCAGATCCTTGTGTGTGCTTATAATATAATGCAAGTTATTTTAACATGGGCACTTAACATATGCCTCTTGTTCTTCTTTGTTAAAATCCTTGGTAAGAACTAAACTTAAAAAGTAAAAGGTGACACTGACACTTCCAAAGAAAATATAGAATAATTTTAAATTTTAAGTGCCACCTGAATCATGTCTTCGCAGTTAAATTCTATTGCCATTTTAGAAGCCATCTTACATGCTGAATCTCACAACATAGAAAATACCTTCATTCTCTCTGACTCTGTCTGTCTGTCTCCAAACTATTATCTGCAGCTCCTTCCACTTTATATTAAATCACTCCCCTACCCTCTTTATTACTAAAGCATTATAATTGTCACAAAGGCAATGAGGTAATGAATGAAAAAAGGTAATGAGTGTGCAGATTTCTTGGATAAGAAAGCAACACAAACAGGTACCCTCTCTCAGTACCCATTTTTCCCCCACGACTTGCTTCCATTACCAAGACCTGACTATGGCATCTTGGCAAGGTATCTAGGACCAAACTAAAAACATAAATTTTAAACACTACACCCGGATTCAAGACAATCCCATACAAATCTCAGTATTTCCCTTATGGTGAACCAACAAATTTACTATGTCAACTGTTTGCTATCTTCGCTTTGGTCATTCTTGCACACTGGTACAGCTAGCCAAATTAAGGATAAGGAATAATTCTTTACGTAAATGTGGTCCACATGAAGGTTGCACTGACCACATACTTTTCGAATATCCACAACTTAAGTTCCCCTAGTATGATATTCTTCCCAAAAACATCCATCATCCTCCCAATTCTACTTGTTTACTGTCTCATGTTTACCTCATTTGTTCATATTTTTTGTGATTTATCTATACTAATATTAAGTAGTAACATAATACTAATCATTGTTATTGGTACTAAGATATAATGCATTGAAGAATTAAACCCCTACGTCTCCTTTATGTACTTGTATTCTCATATATTAAAGTGATAAACTATAGCATCTAGCGGCGTTGGCACATGGATACCACTTTTTAGGATAGAGATAGTATGCCTCAAAGCATGTAATTATACTGCTTCTCTTTCAAATGGCAAAGATCATAATAATGGATGTTCAAATGCTTTGAAAAAGAAATACATGTAATAATACATTTTATAGATGAGAGGTACCTAACCAGTTGGACCTATAAGCAGAAAAGAAGTCTTAGTTTATCAGTATAATACACTTTTTAGAGCATTAGACAAAATTTTTAATCCTACATCTTTAGTTTTTATTACATAGTTAACAAACATAGTGTAAAATTAAAAATAAAACAAGCTCTATGAAAAATATTTTACTTAAATACAATAATAATTTAATATATTGCATACACACATCATTCACAAGAACTCATGCAAATAACTTCAAATGCAAAAGTTGAATGACCTCCACAATTTATCGACACTTGCTCGTTTTTTGTTGGAGTTCACACTACATTTATGTCTTGAGAACAATTAAGCTGCAACAAAGACAATATATGAAAATACATATGGTTCAACAATTTGATATTACTAATTATGGCATTTGAATTAGTAAGTTGTGATACAAGAGCCACGGGTTCAAATCCCGAATGGAACCGAATTGTTCATGTGGTCTAGAAATAAGTGGTGAAATTAAGAATTTCATACAACTCACTTCAAAATAAATCGAATAAGAATATTATCAATGTAGTCAAAGTTAAATAAATACGCATTATTAAGAAAATTCCAAAATTGTTGGTCAGATTTAAATTTAAATGGGACCACTTGAAAAGCACCAGCTTATGAGTAAAAGAGAATTATCAAAATCAGTTTGATTCATATATTTTACAAAAATGTTTTTTTTAAGTAATCAGCAGTATATACCTTCTGACTATGTATAGGAATAAGAAGAAGGAATTTACATTAATTGTGAAGAAAACTGGGGCAGAGACACATGATTTATATATTAAAAATGAATAATTATTTTTACATGAGGTTGCTTCGTATCACATCACCTCCTCCTATAAAAAATCAATTAAAATAAAAGATTATCCTTACTTATTGTACTTTTGCTACTTTACAAATCAGATCTACCCATGTATTTGGGTTTTAATTCCTCTATTCTTTTAATAAAGTCTGTCTTTTCTATACAACCATCGCAAACTTCATCCCAATCATTTAAGATTTTTTTGAGGTCACGAACTTTTAATTTCTTCAAATCAACATTGTTTAAGTCAATTTGTTTATCAAATCGCAGGTCACAGATTTGAGCATCTTTTTTTCTCAACTTTTCACAAATTTTGTCCGCGGGCATAGACCAGCTAAGAGGTTTCGACAGTTCTCCCAAAATACCGGTGGCTGATTCTTCTAAGCCCCCTAAATAGTAACAAAATCTGTTTTCTTTGTTCTTCGTGCCTTTACAAAACTTTTTAAACTTGGCCTCAATTAATTTAGGATCTTTCTTTACATCATCAGATAAGGTTGCTGCAAATTTTTCAACAGTTTTAACACAAACCTCACATTCACCTTCCTTTAACGCAAGGGTTATTTGCAGCACAGCTGCCAAGAACAATATGTAGACCACATTTAATTTATACATAATTATGTACTTTCTGTTCCGAAAACAAGTTAACTTTAGTCAGAGCCGTATACTAGGCAACTAAGAAATAGCAAAAGCCTAAACGAAACTTGAAAACGTTTTAGTTTAGTAGAAGAGTCTCGTTCATTTAAGAAGTTGAAAACGTTGACAGCTCATCTTTACTTGGCTAGCTGTGATTGGTGCACGTCACGTTTCAATAAAAAAAGTATATTACGCTACATTTTACGTAGATCATTTAATATAACTCTGATTTTTTAATTTTTTTACCAATGTTTATTCAAATATTTAAATGAAAAAATACATTTATTCTTCCTCACAGTGAAGCATGTGCATCTCTGCACAGGGGGTGATTCGTTGGCTCAAGCCACTCCAAAAGAGAAATTCGATATTTTAAGCTTCCTTTCTCCGTTTATCTTGACTTATGATGAACGGAGGCCGACTTTCCCGCATTGCGAGTGTTCCATGCCAAATGTGTGGTACTTCTCTCTGAACTCAAGTCAAGTGGATCTGACGAAATACCACAATTGTGCTGAGGTGCGTGTGCTCTGGAGTCAACGGACTTCGGTTCTCACGCGTTTCTTTCAATAGGTAATCCTACTCTTCACGAGTTATCCTAAACCAAAATAAAACATAATTTCTCTGACCTGTCCAACTGCAGGCTTATCGCCATCACCTCTTTGTTTTCTAAATTAATGTAGTCGATTATTAATTGTCAAGTGATGCGGTACCTTGAGAAGCACCAGCTGATTAGTGACCGCCAGTACGGTTTCCGTCGGGGTCGCTTAACTGATCACCTTCTTGTTTATATAACACATCGATGGGTACACGCAGTTGAATAATTCAACTGCGTGTACCCATCGATGTGTTGAATTATTCAAGTGGGAGGCCTTAGCGGTTAGTTTAAATATAGTGAAATTATTATTAATAATTATTAAGAAAGTCACAAATAAAAACTCCTTCAAAGTTCTTTTACGACAACATTATCTGATGGAAATTACTAACTGACATATTTTTCCTTTTTTCTTGCTTCAAATATTTATTTCATTACACATTATTCATTCACTATAATATTATATATATCATTCGTACGGATATTTTTTATGATATAATGGATATTATATCATAAAAATATATATATATATATATGTATATATATATATATATATATATATATATATATATATATATATATATATATATATATATATATGTATATCGTAGACAGAGAAACCTATAGACAAATTGACGCCTTCTTTTGCATTCGCACACGAAAAAGATAGATTTATGCATATTACGTCTTGCATAGAAATGAGACTGAGTGGTGTGATTGTTTGTCCCTTTCTCCGTGCCGGTTTTTTGTTTAGCAAACTGCATTTTCCTAAACAACTTTGACAGTTCGTAGCTATCTAAGGAGTTTTTTTTTGCACCCGAAGCAATTGGAAAGGGCTACCCTTTATGTAGGGAGGCGGAAAATGCGTTACACATACCACGATAGCCGGTCTATCGTGGTTATGAGGGACTCACTGTCTACCGGGGGAACCTAAGTGATACAGTCTAAAAACCGCCTTTAGGGACTGGCAACTGGCTGTTTAAGCTTCTTATGCCGTATTGGAAGCGACCCTCTTTTGGAAAAAGAGGGCGCAGATACGATCTAAGGAGTTTACAAGTTGGTTTAAGTGAGAAAAAAGTGGTTTGTGAACTGAAATGAACAAGATTGGTGAATCTTGTTCATTTCAGTTCTTAGAAAAATAAAATTTTTTATCTAAATTTGTTTAAAAGTCATAAAGATTATTGTTCGCGACCGATAGTAGATTCTCTTATCTCGAGAGCGGTGGAGAGAGGCTTGGCGGGGCGAGGGGGACTTAGCGGCTGGCTGCATCGTAGGCGCAGTCAGTCGCCCCCTGTTTGCATCGAGCCGAGAGAGAGGAAGGACGGCGGCGAAGCCGGGCGGTCCGCCGCGAGGCTGCAAGCCTCTGTTGACGTTCCCGGGCAGGACGTTTCTTCGTTGATAACGGTCGAGAGAGTAATATAATTGCGCGTCTAATGGACGATCTTAAGTTATCTTGTATTAGTGCGTGACTCGATAACTAGGCTTAATTCTTTAGTGTATTGTGCGAAACCGGTTCACTTATATATTGAGAGTTTCCTTGTGTTGTCTTAGACTTATGTTAATGGAGCGCGCCATTTTGAATTTATTATTGAATATTAGAATATAACCTAGACCGCCTCGAATTTAGTGTCTATTTGATCGCGTTACATGACAGAGGACGGCTAGGAATTTGTAATGATTAAGGAACATTTTATGCAGTTAATTGAATCGACGCGATGTTATACCTACATTGAACTTTGACCCACTGTACTTGAGTTGTACCGCGTGTCCCTAATTAACGTCGATGGACTTGATTGTTTGAACTTAAAGACAATTAATTGGACAATAAATAATAAGTGATAAACGAACATAGTTTCCTAGAAGCTGAGGTGTTCTGTGGCTGCCTGCCCCTTAGATGGATCCCATATTTGAAGAGAAGCGACGCCTTTGGATCTGCTGTTCTGCAACCAGCGGGGATGTCAGGTTATACATTGAACACGTACTAAACACAACTCCCACACACACCTACTACTTCATCTGAATGTTTAACCCTGGTTAACCCTACTTCGACGGTAAAAGGTTTCTTGATTTGGTTTGCAACCACTCCCGGCGCAATACGTAACATTTGGTAGCAGGAGCGTGATCTCCCGGCGCAATACGTAAAGTTGGTCGCAAGACAGCGGTTGTAACCACGTGGCTGTTGGTTGTGTTTTGTTTGTAAAACGTAATAATAATTTTTGTTTTGTTCGCGTGTTATTTGTTAGCGGATAGGATCGGTGTATAGAACCACGTAATAAAAATATTTTTTGTGTCTTTTCTTTTCTCTTCTTAGTTCGCTTACTTTGTTCTGCAACCAGCGGGGATGTCAGGTTACACATTGAACACGTACTAAACACAACTCCCACACACACCTACTACTTCACCTGAATCTTCCTATGGTTAACCCTACTTCGACGGTAAAAGATAAGTTTTGTTTGATTCTTTGTTAGCCGCTATAGCTTAATATTCCACAGGTCTTTGACCCTCCCCTTGTCTACTCGTCTAGTTGGACTCCTATGGGCCCGAGTCTGACGACCTTTGTCAGGGTAGCCTGAAGCAGTAACAATTATTGTATAACCTAAAACTACGTTATCGTCCTTTCTCACTCAAGGCCACGTTAATCATTAGTCTATAGGTTTCTCTGTCTACGATAGTATGTATGCATTATTGTTTTATTTTAAACTTGTTTTATATATTCCGTGATCTCCACTGTGATCAGAAAACTCGACCTTAATTTTTTAATTTAATTAAAAAAATTATATGCAAATTGAATGTTGTTTTATTTCCTCTAATTCACACGAGTATCGGTAATCCAGTGTCTTTGACAACCCTCTTACTCCTCGGCCAATGCAGATATATATATATATATATATAACCTTTATATAACCTATATATATATATATATATATATATATATATATATATATATATATATATATATATATATATATATATATATATAAAGGCACTGCAATACCACTGCAATAATGATAAATGTCCTTTTTTCTTTGTTTTAAAATAATTAGATTCACTTTAATTCTAGTTAAAGGAAAGGTTTTAAATATATAAATAAATAAATATATAAACTAAATAAAAATAATATAATATTATGTAAGTATTCAAAAATCAGGACTATAATGATCACTGTCCACTCTGCGTTCAAAGTCAATAACGATAGTTGTCCAAATGACTGGTTTAGTTAAATTCTGATTTTGCTTCAGGCCTACAGAACTTTTTCAGAAACTGCAAGTCGTAATATTTCGCTGTTGATATAGTCAGCTTGTCTTGATAAGCTAAATCAGGAAATTTAATTTCCCTTCATTAATAGGTATTAATGAAGGACGTCCGGGATATCATCGGAATAGTGTCGAATAAGACTTGCTCTTGGATCGTTACTCACACTTGCGTGTGGCTCCAACGATGATGTGTACAGCTGCCCATAGAACCTCTCAATCTCACTCAAAATCTCAGGTGTCCCGGAAACGATGCTACCACACTCGGTCTTCAGCTTTGACAGTTGGCTCTATCTGGCAGACAGATGTCTGATAATACTAGCAGTAATAAAGTTGCGTACGTCCCGCCGCGTGAGTTTGGAGATCTGTCAGTTCAGTTGCCTGTATGCTGTCAAATCTGTTGAAGACTACAGTTTTGAAGGCACCTGCTTTCGTAGATCGAAAAGAAGCTGGTGTGTTAACCCCACTTGATTCCCGTTGACTATTACTGAAATTTCTGTGAAACATGAGCCGTGGATGTTTTTTCTGAACTCTAAATTCACGTACAGGTCTTATGGAAAATGGACACGTTTTTTTGGTAAAACGGTATTAGAAATGCAGTCCAGCACTTGAATCCATCTTATGAACATTCAATAACATTGAAAAATTTCGGTCTCTGTCCAGCTCCACGTAAATGTTCAGCTCATTCTTTAGGGAGTTCAATCCTAGCCTTTTGATTTATAAAGGCCATGTTTTGGTCGCATCCCATATAGGAGCGACCTCTTATCGGAAATATTACTTTGACAGACTATAAGCGATTACAACAGTGGATCATGTAGTGTAACATTCTAAAAATGGTGTAATTTTTATTTTGACCGTCACATGAGTCACAGAAAATTGTATGAATCTTGCCCTGCATATCCATTTTATGACATATAAAATTAAAGAGGTAAGAGGCCACATCCGTTTTTATAATACTCTTATTGTATGCATAGAAATAAGGTGAGGAATCAGCAAGGATATGAACATTAAACAACTAAGCTGCCTTTTATAATAAATGTCGTTGGTAGTTATGTTTAGCAGGCAGGCTAGGGCATGCTGCCTAGCCCTCAAACGAGCTTTTCTCTTTCTTATCATAAAATACTTCACCTCACTTTTTG